CCTCATACCTCTTCACAAATACGCAGTGGTCGGCTTCTGTCTTCTCAAACTTATGATCAGTCATGAATGATTCAAACTTCTTGTACCACTGGTGAGGTGCTTGCTTCAAGCCATAGAGGCTCTTCTTCAATCGACAAACCAAGTCTTCTTGGTCTGGAGCTCGAAACCCCTCAGGTTGCTCCATATATATCTCTTCTTCTAAGTCACCGTGAAGAAATGCCGTCTTCACGTCCATTTGTTCTACCTCGAGGTCCATCGAAGCCGCTATAGCTAACACGGTTCGGACCGAGGTCATTTTCATCACAGGAGAAAAAATCTCCTCAAAGTCTACTCCTTTCTTTTGATTGCAGCCTTTCACTACAATCCGGGCTTTGTATCTCGACTTCTGCCCGTTCTCTTCATTCTTAATCTTGTAGACCAATTTATTTTTCAGAGCTCGTCTTCCTTCTGGCAACTCAGTCAGCTCATAAGTCTAATTTTCATGCAGAGACTTCATCTCGTCTTGCATTGCCTTTTCCCATTTTTCTTTCTCTGAGCTTGTCACAGCCTCATCATAACTCTGAGGCTCACCGTCTTCAGCAACAACAGTGTATTCATCTGATGGGTATCTTGTAGAGGGTCTTCTTTCTCGAGTTGGATATCTTGGTTGTTCTTTAGCTTGAGAACCCACTTCATCATTTTTATTTCGGATCTTATCATCAACTCGAACCTCATCTTCAGCTTGTTACTGGTCATCAATTTCTTCAATTTCTTTATTTTCTCCCCCTGCTTCAGCTCGGACAGGAGGAATGAGTTCTTCACGTCTGACAGTAACCCGGACTTTGGGCTTCGAGATGTCAAGAATGGTCTCATCTTCATGAAAAATCACATCTCGGCTTCTCACTATCTTCTTATTAATTGGATCCCAAAGTCGAAACCCGAACTCATATCTCGGCGAACCAAGATAAATGCATTCTTTAGTCTTTGCATCCAGTTTAGCCCTTTCATATTTAGGGATATACACGAAAGCTCGGCATCCAAACACCTTCAATTGATTATAGGCCGCTTTCTGACCTGTCCAGACTTCTTCTGGAATTTCTCCTTAAAGTGGTCGTGATGGTGAGAGGTTGATCAAGTCAACAGCAGTTTTGACGGCTTCTCCCCAGAATGATTTTGGTAACCCATCATTGGATAACATGCCTCGTACCTTCTCTTCAATAGTTCGGCTCATCCTCTCAGCGAGTCCATTCAATTGTGGAGTCTTAGGGGGCGTCTTCTCAAGTCGAATCTCGGCCGTTCTTGCCAGTCTCCCTTTCAACCATTGCATGGAATTCTTTAAAGGATTGAAGTACCTGGTCTTTACTCTTTAGACTTCAACAAATATACCCACACTTTGCGGGAATGATCATCAATAAATGAAACAAAATATTGAGCTCCTCCTAGAGATTTCTCCGACATAGAGCAAACATCAGTATGGACGAGGTCAAGAATATACCTGCATCGTCTTGGTTGATCCGGTCTCACAAAAGAAACCTGATGCTGCTTTCCACCTAGGAAGTGCGTGCAACTCTCCAACGCTTGGCCTTTCAACCCGGTCAGTGATTCTTTCTTGTGCAGGATCTGGAGCCCTTTCACGCTCATGTGGCCGAGACGCTTGTTCCATAGCTCCAAGCTAGGTCTATCTCGAACAGAATTGGCTTCTCCGCCATTGATCTTTCCTTGCATCACATACAAGGAGCCTTCCTTCACGACCAAGTTTCCCTTGGCCAGCTTCCATCTAACACTACCGAAGTAGTTCACTAACCCGGCATCATCAAGCTTGTCTACCGAGATTAGATTCAAACGCATGTCAGGAACATGCCTTACATCCTTCAACACAAGTCGGCATCCGACATTTTTGGTCAGAGTTACATCACCGACACCAACAATCTTGCTGGTCACCTGATTTCCCATCTTCACGACTCCAAAATCACCACCTCGGTAAGAGGAGAAAAAACGTTTGTGTGGAGTAACGTGGAAGGAGGCACCGGAGTCAACAATCCAGGTGCAGTCATCATAAGCAACATTCAAATAATTATCCTCACCTAGGAGGAATATCTCGGCATTCGGGTTTGCAGCCACCGCAGTGGTGCTCTTGTCTTCCCTCTTCTTGGGAATAATCTGATCCGGCTTCACAGAGCCGTTCTTCTCATCATTCTGTAGGGTCCAGCAATCTGGCTTCTTATGACCTGTCTTTCCACAGTAAAAAAAACTTCAACTCATATTTCGGCTTTGACCGACCTCTGGACTTTCCTCTTCTATCACGATCTCGACCCCGGCTTTTGCTTCTACCCCGGGAGTCAGATTTCCCTTTGTTCTCAGAAATCTTGGCCTCAGACGTGCTCGAAACACCTCGTTCTCTTCTCCTGACTGCTTCTCTTAGGAGACTGTTTATCACGACATCCATCTTCAACTTTCCTTCTGGAGCTGAATTACTCAAAGTAACCACCAGAGTATCCCAGCTTTCTGGCAGCGAGCTCAATAGCAGCAAAGCCTGCATCTCATCATCAATTTTCATCTCAGCTTTTGACAGCTGATTCACAATACCTTTGTAGGTGTTGAGGTGTTCAATCATGCTCATGTCGTCCTTGTATTCAAGCTTCACAAGTCGGCGAACCAGGTATGCTTTATTCTTGGGAGTTTTCTTTTGAATCATGGACTCCAGCTTCGTCCACAACTCTTACGCGTTCGTGAACTCGGACACGTGCTCAAAGAGACTTTTATCAATATATTTCCTGATCGTGGCTACCGCCTTCCGACTCAGGATCTCCCACTCCTTATCAGTTTTGCCTGTCGGTCTCTCATCAAGGATAATTGGCTCATGTAAATCTTTGCAATAGAGATGATCTTCCATCACCGGTCTCCAATAGGTGAAATTGTCTGCAGTCAACTTGAACATATCTCCATCATGAGTTATGCCACTGGTCTCCATCTCATCTCCCTCAGAACCTGTCGAACTCGGGCTCTCATACCACTGTTGGGAAATCGGTTCCCTGATCAACCTCGGCTAAGCAGCCTTTTGCGGAAGTCAAACAACAAGATCCTCGATCTCGAATCTCGGCAATACCTCGGCCTGAACTTTACCAGGTTGGGCAGCGCAACGGAAAATCAAAAACGATAACAGGAGAGATAGAGAAGGAGAGAGAGAGAACACAAGCAGTTTTAACGTGGAAAAATCTTCTCCAATGAAGAAGTAAAAACCCTCGGGACCTAGTCCAAATCAAAAATCCACTATGAACATAATGGTTACAAAGAATCAAATACACCAATGTGGTGGTTAACTCAACCTCTCCAACAATGGTGATAATCAAACTACCATAGAGATGTTTCACTCAAACTCTCTCTAGAGATCTCTCAAATACAAAGCATAAAGCTTTGCTCAAACAATCAAATAATTATCTCTCAAATTTTCTCTCTCATTTTGACCTAGCCTCCACCCTCAACTAATGAATATATAAAGGAGGTGGAATTTAAGGTTTAAGGTTTAGGATTTTTGGGAAACCCATCAATGGGCTTGGACTTAGCATTGAAGGAGGAAGCCCAACATGTGCAACACAGGCAGTCACACACATCAATGCATCAACATATTTAGTGAAAACATGTGTTGCAAACCTCGGGCTATCAAAGGACACAATATCAAAGGTAGTATTAGTCATATGTTACTTCAGACATTATTGGAAGCCACAACTAAAAGGGGTGCGAGAAAAGTGTTAAGAGAGAAAAAGTGGACGAAACCTTAAAATCTTTACAGCTCTGGATCACAGGGAGGAGACGAGGCTAGTCGCGAAAGTCACCGCCGAAAAAGAGGTGTCACATTCTCCCATGCATTGGCAGAAGGGGATGGAGCAACACGTCTATGTCACGCGTGTGAGGGCACATTTCTAGGCTTTTGAGGCTAGGACCAGGACAGAAAAAATTGCCTTGCAAAGACGAGTCGAACGGTGGTGATCTCGCCATGAAACTCACCGAAAAAATCTTCGGCACAGTGGTCAATATGGCGGTCAACATTGGTAAGGACTTATGGCAACAACACAAGGATGACTGACGAAAAAGGATTCATAAAGGAGCGGATTAGAATTCCTCTTGTATAAGTTCTAAATATTATGTTAAAGAATCATTTCAACCTAAAAATTTAAGTTTTTGGGTGAAGCCAACTAATGATTTTATATTTCTTTAACATATTATATACTAATAAAGGGTGAAAATGAATTTTTCCTTTTATACAACAAGGATATTTTTGACATTCAAAGTGATATATGTTGTTCAAAAAAATCATTCATTAATCCTAATTATGCAACCTGTTTGAACTTCATTTAAGACAGTTTCGATCAATTTAAACTTGTTTAAGACGTGTCATCCTCACAGGTTTGCTTTTATTTTAATTTTATATTTATGAACCTTATTTAGATGATCCATTTGAGCTGCATGTTAACATTTAAATAGATTTGCCACCAAAATGCCATCTGATTTATGTGGGGTTGAGCCTAAACGGGCCCAGTCGGCCACTTTAATTAGCAACCCTACTCCAAAGTATATAATATCAAATGATTTTTTCCCTCTTCATATCTCAGTTATCTTGGTTATGTCTTCCTTGAATCTGGAAAATTATCTCTAGCTAGAAAGCACAAGCAAGGACACTCGAGTCAGATATTTTACATGATCTCATTAATTTTTTCATTCATCATATATAATAGATTAGTAGTACTCCGATTCACGTTCATATATATATGTCTAAGACAATACCAAGTACAAATATATGGACCCATACAACAAAACTAGAGCTAGTAATGAAACAGACGTACATCTCTTCTAATATCTATATGTTTATGTCGCCAAATTATTAGAGTTCAAAACATGGCTAGGTATATCTATTTCTATATGTAATATATATGACATACGTATATTACAATAAGATAAACAGTGTATTATTTATGGTACTTATTCCAATACTAGCTTCCCAGACTCATGCATTGAACATTAATTCAATTGGGTATGAGCTTGAAAGGAGGCTTAGAAAGAGCCGGCGATGGATCATATCGTCCGTAATCTTTTGCGAGAGTCCTAAGAAGCCTCTCGTGGATGGTTCTTACTTCTTCATTATTCAGTGGCTTCCTCGGTGTTTCCTAGCAAATTAAGCAAGCACGAATATATAAGTAGATAGATACCAACTCAGTGAAAACTTCAAATATAAGGAGATGCTATAGAAATGAAAACTGAAAAATTATAAATTGTACCGAAGTTCAGATTATATATAGGTTAAATATTTCTACAGCCACTTTAGATAATATTATCTACAACTATTCTTTTTTAACTAAGTCTCGTCAGTAAGACATAAAAATTCCATTTTCTCTCTCTGCTACGTTAGCCAACAATGTCTGATGAGAAAAAAAAAACAGTTTTATTGTTATAATTATGTCTTACTGATCATACTTAGTTAAAAATGATAGTTGTAGATAATGTTATCTAAAGTGGCTGTAGAAATATTTTTTCATATATATATATGCCATTGATCTTACTTAATCTAACAACTATAATTTAATAGTCAAACTTATACCAATGTTTATTCAAAAAAAAAGAAAAAAAGCTTACAAATCTTAGCAATTAATGTGACTTACATCTAGCAATTCCAATTTAATAGTTATGTGATCCGTTAGATGTAAGTGGAATTAACGGCTAATATTTGATATAAAACTTGTTATTTTTATATCGGTGAAAGTTTATTCTCAGCTCTCCTCATATATGTGTGTGTGTGTGTGGAGGGATCAATTTATACTATTAGTATAATAATAACTCTTTACTCTTGTATCCATTATCAACCGTTTATTATACTTATATCTAACAATTCTAATTTAGTTAATATGAAAGTTTACGTGAATATATATACAAGGTGTAAGAATTGATATAAGTTGTTCCCTTTCTCCTCTATATATATGACTCACCAAAAATAAATAATAAGAAAAAGGAAGAGGAAAGGAACTAACGAAGGACAATCTGTTTCATGAGTTCTTTCAAATAGGAAGGCACAGTAGAGGTGGTAGTTCATGTGTTCCGCACCATTTTGTTAGGTGCAACTACAAGCTTAAAAATTAAGAGATACAGAAAGAGTGAGGAGAGGGTTTGAGGAGAAGGGTTATTAACTTGTTCTTCCACAAGGTTCATATATATTAACTAACCGGTGGAAATGCTCAAATGGAAGTGAGGCTAAAATAAAATAAATCACAATCACTTGATCATGTATACCTCTTGGACTTCATTCACTTCTGCAGCCAAGTTCCTGATAAACTTTGATCGTCCACCTGCATATGCATTAAGCAAAGACAAGGTAAAATTTTTAGAGTCATCTAACACTTAATTTTGTATATTATATATATGTGAATATACTGTATACAATAATTAAATTATTTCAAAGAATAAAATTATCCCCTTAATCACATGCCTTGCACTTTAGAGTCTTGAAGCAAAAGAACAAGATGGAATCAAACCCATACCTCTGATAGATACACATAAATTAATTAATTTAATTTCCAGATATCAAAGTTAAGCTAAGCCAAACATGTCATTGTTATTGATGTTATAAACTTAACTATAATATGAAACACTGTAAGAAAATATCTAATTAATATATATATCGATATGTGTTCAATTGCACTCAAGCTCCTTTATTTTAATCCAAAGCTATCTCTGACAATGTGTGCTGAGTGTGGTTACCATCAAAGGCTGCAACAGAGAACACCTAAAAAGACCAACCTGCAAAAGAAGTTGATAAAAGTGATCCAGAAATAAGGAGGAAGAGAAGAGTGAACTTCTTGAGAAGCATGAGACCCATGTTATGTGCAACTTGATATTTTCTACGTTTACTTTCACAAAACCTTATGTTTCCTATCTATATTGCAAAGAACAATATATTCCCCACAACGGAAGCCTCGAAGAAAAAACTGAAGTTGACAGTTTAATTGGAAAAGAAACCATAATATGTGGTTTGAAGTTTAAATATTCAACCAAAAAAGGTACATGGAGACCACTTAGCTTTTGTTGGGGCACTAAGTCTAAGAAGTTAGTGGAATGAATGACATATACTAATTAGGATAATAATTGAAATCAGACCTTAGTGGGAATTATTGGGTACCCCTATGCTTTATCTAATCAATTTTTCTAGCCTACCAAACTTTAGTGACAAATATTTTGGTGTTTTTTAATTTAAAATAACATTAAAAACAACTTGAAACTCCAACTTTTATGACTAAAAAAAGTATTATTAGTATGAGATTAATGTTTCTCTTGTGACAACAGATAAAATTATCTTCTACAATCTTAAAATGACGTCGTTTTGAAGTTTAGGAAAAGAATATAGGGTATTTTGGTAAAATTATCAATAATATCGTTTCGAGATTAAAGGAGATAACCCTATTAATATAGTGAGTGAATAAGCTGATGATTGACACGGTATAATCATAATGTTTATCTTAATGTATTTGGCATTATGAATTTGATATTAAGTTTTATAAGCTCAAATTAAAAGAAGGCTGAAGTGGAAAGGTAGAAAGCATGCGTTGGGATTAAAGCCATATCAATCCAAAGGTTGTGTAGGGAAAGTGATATTAGGTTGGCATAAAATAGTATTAGTGAATTGCAAGTGCTACCAATTATCCTTAACAACAAGGGCAATGCACTAAATAACAACGAAAGGACATTAGTGGAGAATAAAGATGAGCACTTCAAGATTTAAAATACTCTTATCTTTTCTACTTCTTTTCATGAAAGTGGTTTTAGGATGTTCATGAGCTCCCATAAGTCAAGCATTATCTTCTGGGAAGATTCTTCCTTCACCTTTCTTTTCAGGGCATAATGATTGGTCAACTTACAAGGACTAATTGGTAGAACACATCACCTAAATTTTGGACAATAACTATGATGGAACAACCCAAAATGGGAGGATGAAAAATGAACTAGATAACAACTTAATTAGGATGCAAACATTAAGTAAGACAATTATTTGATAAAAGAAAATGAGATCTTAATAAGGCTTTTATTCTTTCTATGAAGTTTACACGATTAAACATTAGGAAATTCCTGTCATTTCTCTCTCCTTTTTAATTTTTTCCCCCTTTTTCGATAAGATATTTTATTAGGCTTTTCTTTTTGCATGCATGCTTGTTACAGCTTGTATATATAATTTATATAGATCTAATTAGCATAGACTGTTTTATCATCTTGGTGTTATCCATTTATAATTGTACAGGCTTGGTTTTATATATCAAATCCTCTTAGTGCTTATACCACTTTCGAGCAAACTTTTGACAATATTGATCTCTTATAGAAAGATTTTAGATATTGTTAGGAGCATAATAATTAAAATCTTGATCTATTATTGTGTTTTTTATGTTTTTTTTCATCAAAATATTTTTATTAATATCCCAAGCGCTTTTATGTTTTTACGATTTTTTTTAATGTATGATTTTACGTTTTATGATTTTTTATTCCCTTTTCGTTTTTACATAAAATCTTAATATTAACTACCTTGCTTAGAAGTGAACTTTGGCGTCATTGCAACATTCATATCTTTAAATCTTATCTTGTTTTGAGTTTGAGTTTTGATTTTTTACTGTTAGTCATTTAATCCAATAGTATTTTCTAGGGATTGTTTTCATTTACGGTGACAATTCGTGTTCACAAGTTTGGTTCGTGTCGGTTTGAGGTTTGACACGAGCACGAATAGTCTCAACCTAAACACGTTGCAATTAACAATTTGAATCATATTTAAAGAGTTGACAACACAAACTAACATGAAAAAGAAGACAAATCAAATCTCAAAAGATTTAGTTATGAACAAATTACACTGTTAGAAACTAAGTTGAGACTAAATCAAGGCTCAAACCTTGAAAGAACAAAAGGCAAGAGCTTCACTTGCAAACACTACGACAAAGATGGAGTGACAAGATTGGGATTTGAGAGGGGGGAGAGAGTTGTCGCTACCGTCAGAATAAAATAATAGAATAATAGAGTCGGATGGGGAGTAATTGAAACTCGAAATTAACTTTTGCCTTTTATACCATTCAAGAGAGGGATAGGTTATTCTGCCTACTCTTATTTTGTCTACCTTTGCATACCTCTCTCAACACCGTTAGATTATAATCTTATCCAACGATGGAGATTTGCAGAATAAAATAAACTTTTTTCTCTTTTCTTTCTCCTCACTGTCTCCCACACTCTTTCTCTCTTCTCCTTTTTCTCTCTATTGATTTGCGTAATTTACAATCTAAGTTTATATTTGAATCAAAATTGATGCAATGATTAATGACATGATAGTTCTGCTGGATGAGTATAATTTTCAAAATTTCTTGAATATGATATAATTGAATATGACATAAATCACAAAATTACAAAAAAAAACAAAAACCACGAATAACTCTTCATTTGAATTAATCCACGATTACCGTAACGTTTTTACTTTGCTGTTGAAATTTGAAACGAATCAACTTATCTCCTTCTTCTTATCTTATTTTTCACCGAAAAGTGAGGAAAAGATCTCTGTTCTCTCTATGTTATGCCCAACAACAGGCCTACCTGGTTCCATAACATAATGCATATGAGTTTGTTTCTTCTTGACATCCATTTTCAATTTTTTATGTGAATGCTCATAACAACAGCTGAGTTGGATGAATTGAGAAAAAAGTTTGCGCCTTTTTTATGCCGAAACGCCATTGAAGAGAGAGAAAGGAAAAAAGATTTATTTTATTATGTAAATCTCCACCGTAGGATGATATTATAATCTAACGATGTTGAGAGAGGTAGGTAAAGATAGTCGTCAAAACAAGAGTGGGCAGAATAATTTATCCCTTGAATAAAATGACCATAATAATCTTAAAGAAATAAATAAAAATAATATTTGCAAGTCAGAGCGGACTCCAGATTGACACGTGACCTGACATGAATTTTTTTAACCCGAACACGACAAAATGTAAACTACGGGTTAACCTGAACACAAATTTTATGTTGGATCCGGGTTGGATTGGCAAATCGGGTTACAAATTGCCACCCCTACGAGTCAACTTATGCAGTTATTTGCTTTCTTGGGAATTTTTGGAAGTCTATGAAGTAGTTTCTCATTTTAAACTGTGAAAGTTTTACTAACCAAAAAAAAAAAATGCAAGTCGAATAAATTCAAGGGCGAAATGATTAAGGAAGATTTTTAGAACAAAGCCGTACCCCTTACTAAAAAATCTTTGGGTTGACATATACAAAGTAATTTGTACTTTGAATTAATAAAATATTAACGCATTTGGTTTCATGTTATGGGAAATTTCATAGAATAGCGTGATCGTAAAATCAGCCAAAACTTGCGAATATATCATGCACAAAACATAAGTTGTCAATTCAAAACTTATGATATAAAAACAATTATTTCAGCAACACACAAATGTACACGAAGTAACAACGATAAATATTGTAATCAAGAAAATATAAAACATAATATCAAATGTATTTGTATTAATTTAATGAGTTGAAAACAACTCATAATCAAAATTTTACTTTTTCTATAAAAAAAAAAATTCTGCAAAAATTAGTCAAAACTGAACGCATGCTAAGATTATTAATTGTTGGACATCATATAATATAGAAGTCCGCTGTTGATTTTCCATTTTTATATTCTTCATTTAAAACAAGCAATATAATTTACAAAATAGCTCAATTTAGTGAAAAATATGTTGTTAGATAAATTATATAACGCAACTTAAAGATGTCACTTATTTTTATGAAATTAATTTTTTTATTATTATCTAATTAAATGAATCACTTAACTTCCTAAAACTATATTTTATGTTATAATGTCATTGCGAAAAATACCATGTACACATTTCTATTGGGCAAATTATTACACAATGAATAATGAGTTTCACTTCATAGCCCAAGTATAAGTATGCAAAAAAGTAAGATAAAATCAGTTATAATCATATAATTAAAATTATGCAGATTTGGCATAACGTGTATAAATATGTGTAAATAAATTTAAAACTTTTAACAAACTTATGCTATAATGTCATTATATAAAATATCATGTACATAATTATATAAAATGGCAAATTATTACACAATAAATAATGAGATTCACTTCATAGTCCAAGTATACAAGAAAACAAGATAAAATTAGTTATAATCAGATAGTGAAAAAATTATACAAATATGACATAATATTTGTATAAATATGTGTTAGTAAATGGTCTCACTGTATAGTTACTTATATGCAATTCAATGCCACTAGCCTTAAAGAAAAATAACCATATATGTACCAAATATATATATATATAAGTAAAATCATTTTTGCAGCCGCTTTACGTACAGCTACGATAGATGTATGGTTATGATTCCCCACATTTAATGTTTTCATCCTTTGTATGGTTATGATTCCCTGCATTTAATGTTTTCAAGTATATATATGACAAGTATTTGATTGCTGCACGTACAACAGCTGCGGAAATGTAAACTATATATATATATATATATATATTACACGATAAAAGCAATAAATAAATAAAGGTCTATCCATACCCAAAGAAGTTCCATCTATATATCCTTTCCAAAGAATTAGGAATTTAAGATGGACAGTTGAGAAATTGAGTTAACACCAATTCAAAGTTAGGAGCATTTAATACTATAGCACTCATAACTCATAAGAGAAATGCACTTGCTTTACAAACTCTAGAAGTCAAACTGAAATTTACATATCAATGTCAAGCCTATTAAAAGCACGGGAACAATTGTTCTTTTAGCTTCTTCGTTGGTTTTTGACACTGGAAGAGAAACAAGGTTCAAAATCCATTGAGAGCCAAAAGGCTATTAGAATACAACTCAATACACAACCATATCACAAACAAACTGAACAAGATGACTATGATGAGGAAGCAGCATCTACCGGTTTTTCGCTTTCTCGGCGTAGACTGTTTTCTCTGCTGTAAGCAGCTTTAGCACCCTAAGAAGCAAAATCAAACATTCTTAATCAGATTAGATCTAACAAAATGTGCATCAGTTGATGCACAGTCCAATTAGCTATTGATGCACAAACATCAGAAATCAATGAAAACACTCACTTGAAAAATAGTTCCTAACTTTTTCAATGCTTTGGCCCGACACCTCATAACATCTTTGGAGGCACTAGGATCTTTAAGAACCTGATAAAATTAACAAGACCATTTCTTAAAACTTATGATTAATAGACATTTCAATATAAATTTTTCTACTTATTCACTGTGATTATGGCATGCATTTCAGTTCAACATGGAAGTAGATATGCTTTGAGAGTTCATGTTCCACCATTAGCTTTCCAAGATAAAAGATAATACCGCTGTGATCCAAGTTGTTTCTACGATAAATGCGACTTACAGCTTGGCAGACATGTGACAGAGTTGATTCAATATCGATAACGTTGATCTGCCATAGGGAATTAATCATGGCATCCTTCTTATCTTCAATAGCTTTTACTATGTTTTCTTCTTTGTTTTCTCCCTGGTTTAGCTTCTTGAGCTCTTCTTGTATTTGAATTAGGGACACAGCTCCTACAGAAGTAATTAAGTTCCATTATAACCTTCCAAATTTGAGAAACACTCATTTCATTTCAATTAGATAGAATAATAGTCTACTACCTGAGGCTGCTGTCACTTGTGACTTTATACGGTGTCCTTTGTCTCTTACCCACTCTGCCAAAAAGGGAACATTCATATACCGTATATCCTTTCCAAGTTCTCTTGAAGCTTTTCGAGTGTAGATATAACCAATTGTATGTAGCATGGCCTCTCCAAAAGCTGAAAATAGTGCCAGATATAAGTCAACAAAATCCCAGGGGAAGAAAAAACCACGAGTGAACAAATATACATGAATTCTTAATTGCTCTTTCATCCTTCTTATGTGAACCATATTGACCTTATCATGATTTGCCCTAAAGGTTGTTGCTAGAGATTAAAATCATTCATGTGGCGTTACCCAATAACTTAAACTCTCGGAATAGTTGATTCTTGAATTGGTATATGATGGAATCAGAAAATTATATTAAAGTAAAATATGGAGGCAACCTCCTACCAACAATTTAGTACAGCAATTGCAGAAAAATAGACATAAAATGCAGAAACCAATACAATTCTGCAGACAAAGAAACAAGTAAAACACTCCTAGCTCCCCCTAAGATCAACAACTGAGACCTTAGAGTTCCCCAAATTCCTATCCAAAATTAGCTCAATTCATGCGTGAAATCCCCCTCCTCATCTTGTACCACTATATAAGTGTCTCTCTCTCTCCTCTAACTAATTCCTCAATTCTATTGGGCTTGGATAAACACTTTGCAAAGTTCGATCTTTGCTGCCTCCATTCTTTTTAATAAATATTGAATTTCAACACAAGGTAAATGTGCATTGTCCACACTTCAAATCCAAAGGACTATTCCATGAGAGGACGTGTTAGAAATTAAAACCATTCATGTGGCTTTAACCAACAACTTAAGCTTTTGGGATAGTTAGTTATTGATAGATGCTGAAGGAGGGTTGATGGACTGCTAGGTGAGTAGGTGGCCCAACTTAAAGTATTAACTAATATTGTGCCTATAATTATAATGCGCATCTATTATAGACAATTATATCCAAGGCTGGGTGGGTCAATACCATTAAATAAAAGAAAATCCCCTAGCACATATCATATTTGTATTTTTGCATAATGCAACATAAAAAAAGGATCTTGGCACATGGTTCTTTTGATTAAGTCATCCATTTGACTATGTCAAAGTGCCACATCTGCACCTTCTCAATATTATGTTTCTCAGTTTTCAGAGAGGGGGACTTTACCCTCTCTGCACTCTTTCGTGCCTCTCACTCTCTTCCTTTCCTTCTCTCATATTTTCACACACTAATATTTACACCAATTAGAAACACCATTGCTCTCTTTCTCCATCTTCATCTCTTCCACAAGACCTTACCTCGTTTTTCCCAAAGGCATACTCTAATCGACCACCTTAATTAATCTATGGTTAGCTACTAGCCTCATGTAAAGAACCAATTCAACTCAAAAGCTTAAGCTATTGGGTGAGGCTACATTAATGGTTTTATATATCTCAACACACCCCCTCACACGAGAGCGAACTGGGCTTGAAGGGTGGACAATGCACAGGCCCACCTACTTGTGCGAATAAAGAAATTCCACTTGAAAGAAAGTGGGGGGCGGCGAGGATCGAACCCGGACACGAGGTTCTGATACCATGTAAAGAACCTTATGATACACCACCCCAAAAGCTAGCTCAAAGGGTGGGGGTGCCCAAGACCTTATAAACTCCACATTAGTTGCTCATACAACCAATGTGGAACTATATAAGGCCTTGGGCACTCGCACCATTTGAGCTAGCTTTTGGGGTGGTGTATCCTAAGGTTCTTTACATGGTATAAGAGCCTCATGTCCCGGGTTCGATCCTACAGAAGCTACATCTCAACACTTGATAAACAAATAAATACAGCGGTTAAACAAAATTAAGTTACAAATAAAGACAAAGGTTAATCAAAACTCAGTCTAAAAATAGAAGTAGCCCATCACCATTAGATACACACCCACCCCTTCCAGCCAAGGATATTTTAATAAAAGATTTATGAGACGTAGTTTTCAAATGCAAAATATCAACAGAAGTTAACAAGCAAGAAATACTGTGCAAAGAATGAACTATTTTCTTAAAGGCATTCATTTGACTAATGTTTTCCCAAGTTAGCAATAGGAAAAGGGTAGTTGGTACTTTCTTAGGAACCCCCTATTTAGGAAAGTAGGTAAGAAGAAATAAGGACATGTCCAATGATCTAGTTGGATGGGCCCTGTTACCAATAGTGTGAAAGATGCTGTTTTTGAATGATTGATCCCAAATAGGGGAGATTACAATATATACACCAAGGCCTAAAGAGAAATAAAGAAACTAAATATTACATGGATTCCCCCTAATTAATAAAATAATCAAAAGGAGATCCTAATTGATCTCTGAGAAAAAGGAAACAAAAATACAATGATTTTCCACAAATAGTAATTATAATTAACTATTATTGTTAGATGTATTAGATATAGTTACTTGATATTTATTTATATTGTTAAATATATTAGATAATGTTACTTGATATTAATCGATATTTATAGATATAGTAGAGTTACTTGACTTTTGGGGATAATACTTAAAGATTTGGGAGGATACTCCTCTAGATCAGCAGTAGGGTAAAAGGAAACAGAGAGCAGAGAGGGAGGCCCAATGAGATTGGAATTGAGTTGTGGGGAGAGAGCAGACTCTCAAAATCCTGGATATCAGTCGCTGCTGTATTCACTCTATTTTTCTTATCAACGAATTTTCCTCTTTTATCCATACCTAAATTCTGGCAGTTCTATCAATCCTCTACAATTCTCTCCAACTTATAGACATGAAACTAATAGTTATTATTATTATTATTATCTAACTTTCCAGTTTCTGACAATGCTCAGCTATGAAGCACCGATACTGATACGGCATTTTCGATACGTTCTCGATACGTGTGTCCGATACGTTACTTCAAAAATACTAATATTTCGATACGTTCCGATACGTCTTAGTATTAAATAATATTTTTAATATAGTGTACTTCACATTAACAAAATATAATAAAATCATAGGCACAAATAGTAAAAGAACGACGATGGATATTAATTAATATATATAAAAAATAAACCAATTATTATATCCTCGTCAGGCAATATAATAATTGTTTGCCTGAAATTTACATAATAAAAAATAAAAAATAAATATACAATACAAATAAAAGAACGACGATGGATATCAAACAGCTTTCACCGACAAAAAAACAGCTATCCTTCATTCACTTACCTTCCGTGCGTGAGAGGATCCTTTTTTGAGCAGAGACGATGGAGGAAGAACGACGATGGATGGAGGTCTCACAACGAACAGCTACCACCCACCGACAGCCAAGGAGGAAGAAAGATCGAGGAGAAACAGCTACCAACGAAACCGTGGAGGAGCCGAGCAGAAACAGCGACGGCCGATGGCGGAGGAGGAACGGCGACGACAAACCAACGATGGAGGAGGAAGAATGACGCTGTGGCGCCTGGCGTGTAGGTCAGGACGTGTTGATTTGGATTCTGAGATTTAACACGATTTGGGTTCTTTTTGTCCAAAAAAAAACACCGTTTTATTTTTTAAAACAATTACTGAAATGCCATTCATCCATTAGATACGTAAAGATAGAGTATCGTAACGTATCCGTATCGGACGTGTGTCCGATACGTAGAAATTTTTCAAAAATGCGTATCCGTGCTTCATAGATGCTCAGAAAATATTTATTAGAACATTCAAAATTTGGATATACATGCATAACTACAAGCATTCAGGAAATATTGCCAACGAAACAAGGATTCAGAATACATCTGATAATTTTATATTCATGTAGAAGATAAAAATCTTTTAAATAGCAGCTTTTTTTTTTTTTTGTAGAAAACAACATTGCAACATTAACATCTACGCCTTTATCCCAAACTAGTTGGAGTCGGTGGCAAATGAACCCAAATATAAAAGTACAAAAAGAATGAGGTTAAAAAAAAAATGCAAAAGAAAACAACATTGCAGCAAAAGAAAAATGCTGCTTAGATATGTACCAAAAAAAAAAAATGCTGCTTAGATAATGATGACATTATCATTATAAGGGATAATAGAATGTCAATAACCAATCATCCTAAAATTTGCTCTTAGGCAGAGGCCCAAAATTGTTTTCTATGCACACTCCCTTATGTCGAAGCCCTTGAACATGAAGCATTGACAAAAGTCACAAAAAATAGGTTCACTCAATCCTTGTTCTGAAATTAAAATTCAATTAGAAGCATAGTAGCAGCAAGGATTGAACTCCGATCGATGTTCAAATACCATATCAATTACCAATTATCCTAAAAACTTAAACTATTAGGTGGAGGCATAGAAACAATTTCATATGACCAACATAGATCATAGCTGTTGAAATTTCAGTGAAATCACGGAAAAGAGTGGAAATAACAATAAATAACTAAATTGATGAGATCATGATTCAAAAACTAACCTAATACTCCTATTTATACTAATATTCAAAAATATTACATCTGTTACAATCTACTATCTAGCTACTCATACATTATCTAACAGACTAAGACAGCAACTAGTACAAGCTCAGCACAACCCAATCACATTCCTGAGCTGATAAGAATCCTAATAATCAAACTACAGAAAGCCAGGACTATAAAGTATAAACAGACTCCTTGGGATGTTATGCTTGAAAATTATACATTATTTGGACATTTTCCTTCAGTGGGAAATAATGTCATTCAAATAACAGATTGAAGCATTCTGCAATATTCTAAAATACACCTGATTGAATTTATGATTTTTTCTTTGAATAATTCCATTTATATTTGACCCATTGGGTGGGTCTATAGTAGGAAACCTTACTTTGTATTTGCAAGAGGCTGATTACATGAACCGAACTTGTGATCAGGTCACATGATTGGTGACAACTCTAACCATTGTGCCAAGGTTCCCCTTCCCATTTATGTTTCAAAGCTGGAATATATATATATATATATATATATATATATATATATATAGGGGTTTACATTTCTGCAGCTGCTGTACGTGCAGCAATCAAATACTTGCCATATATATACTTGAAAACATTAAATGCAAGGAATCATAACCATACAAAGGATGAAAGCATTAAATGTGGCGAATCATAACCATACACCTGTCGTTGTTGTACGTAAAGCGGCTGCAGAAATGATTTTACCATATATATATATATGTACACCTCAAACAAATTTCAGCTGAACAAAACTCAAAGCATCTATTGCATCAATAAGCCAGAATAATTTATTTCAAGCCCTGCTATATCAAAACCTCTAACAGCGTTAAAAAAGAGTCACGATTGATAACCAACTCCAAAACATATGTTGGCATAGACAATGAATCAATATTCTTGATGATGATAACTTTTGAGTTATTGAAACTTCTAAATTGCGGATTATTATTAAATAACACTATTAGAATTATAGGATAAAAGGATGGAAGTTACCAGCTTTTGAAAGATTGCGTGCTTCTGAATTTGCCCATGTTGTAAATTCATCTTCTCGACCATCAACAAATGGTTGGAGGCGATCTTTCAGAATTAATATCAGCTTTTGTTCTCTTTCCTTCTGCCATGCCTACAGATACGAAACTAGGAAACAGCTTCAGCTACCAAAATATGGGAGGGGTAAGGTTGGGAAAACTGTACTAGAGCACTAGAAGAAGAAAAGAATACTTTCATCTTTTCTTGAATTCTCTGCTTGCGAACTTCAGGATCCTGTGAGTCTTCCTCAATTTCTATAGATGCTAAAGAAGCAAGTGCAAGTTTTCCAATATATTCTTCAAACAATTCGCTTCCAAAAAGCATTCCAAATACAGTTGAAGGGTCCATCATGGAATCTCTGAAAAATAAAAAATCAGTTTATTCTACAGGTTTTCTCAATTAAAATTGAACATTCAGTTAATACTAAGACTCATCTGAAAACATTTAAAAAAAATGAAGATTATAGGAGATTCCAGTTAAACAATCAACTTAATCGAGTTGATTGTCATTGATACTAATTATAGGAGTTATTCTGTAGATACTAATTTGTATTCTTGTGAACTGCAAAGACAGATTTTCACCATTTGATGGAGCATACTTGCTTGCAAGCTATTATTGGTTAATTACTGTTCAGTCATGTAAGGTTGGTTAAACTTACTGTGCTACTCCTTCCTTTCCATGCTTATCATATGCTTCACGCTTCTCAGGATCACTTAAAACCTGGTAAGCCTCACCAAGTATCTGGTATAGATACCAGACTTAGAAAAGTATATTGAGGAAAAATAAAGCAAACTGAAGAGAGGGAGAGATTCAAATGTATAAATACTCCTATATTTAGTACTGTGGCTAAACATCTAATAATAGCATGAAAGATGTAAATAATTTTGTAAATGAAATCCGGTAATATTAGTTTTATGGAGCCAAAACCCTGTTTCTTAGTGCTTACCTGAAAATTTTCTGCAGCCTTAGGATCGCCATGATTTTTATCGGGGTGAACTATTCTTGCCTGCAAAGGGAAGAAAGAGAGAAGGTAGGAAGAAACATATCTCCAGTCATTAACAAAGGAGAAATTGTCAAGTTTAACAAAGAAAAAAAGATTGATTTAGGTGATGAAGAAAGTGTAAAACACCAGCATAAATGTAGCCTTCTAAATATCGAATCTAAAAGTAAGAAGAAGAGAGACACTATTTCTTTTACTTTTCCTGCAATTCACCCAAACCCCATCTCACCAGCTCAGAAAATAACAACATATGGTTAAATGGGGCAAATAATGGAAAATAGTCACAATATCTCAGCAAACTAGCTCAATGATTAAGGTCAGCACTACACTGTGTCACCAATTAAGTGTTGTCTGGTGAGAACATTTACAAGCCTAACAAGATCACAAAGCAGTTTCAGAAGTTCCTTCTTTGGGGCTTACAGTAATCAAAATTTGATAAATAATCCAAACTTCCAAAAATATTTGAACAAGGGCAACAAACAGTGTTTTTAAAAAAAATAACCAAAGCAGGTGAGATATTCTAACTGTGTATTACCAATCTCAAAACGGGTAAAAATTTTAAAACAACAAATAAGCTGAAGCCAGATTTATATAACTACCTAATTGCTTCTATAATATAAATAAAGTGTATAATGAAATTCAAACATTCTCAACATCATGTGATATGATAACATCCTCAAATCTAAGATTCTGCTTTCAAAAATCAGAAAAATTGAAGGGCATTCATTACCTTAATATAATAAGCCTTCTTGATCTCTGCAGCAGATGCATCAACATTGACCCCCAATATGTCATAGTAGGTAGTGTCCTTCACCATTGCTTGTGATATTCAAATCACAATTCACAGCTCTGAAATTATGCAAATAGAAAAAAAAAAACTAGTTACCAGCGTGATACCAATACCAAGCAATTGAACAATATGAAATTCAAAAAGGTGATGAAAGAGTTTCCAAACCCAGATTTTGGACTCAACCCAATAAGCAATAATGGAAAAAGTTTCCAACTTTAAACTGAGAGGGAGAGACCGAGAGAGTTAACAATAAGAAGGAAGGAACACAAGATTCCAGATTGAACCGTGCGGCAGAGGAAACGGTATCGTATTGAAGGGATCATGTAGCTGATTTGTTTTTTTATTTTATTTTTTGTTTTTTTTTGTTTTTTTTTTTTTTTAAGGATGAGACATGAGAGGGTGCTTATAGCTAAATGACACGTCCATGGAAGAAATTCATGGATTCCTTGCGTTTCAATTCAACCTCCAACTTTCATTTCATCTAAAAAAAATGGCACAAAGCCACAGTGCACATGTTTGGATTTTTTTTTTTTTTTTTTTTGGTAAGCCATGTTTGGATTCTTTAATCTTTATTAAAAAAATAATATTTTTTTACATTTATAAGAGTGAGAAATTTGGGTAATTTACGTTAGGTTATAGTTTGGGCTCTCATTGTATCCAAAAAAGAATAATAATTTATAAACCTTACTAGATAATTGAAACTATATGACATAATTGAAACTACATAAACTAGATGCAAACTTGCGCATAGCGTAGATAAACAAAATTATCTTAAAATTTGTTTGGTAAGATGCTTACATGTTATTAATTGTCGCGATTCGATGACCTATAAGCGAATCATAATTTTAAAGATGAATTATTATAGGATTAACAGGTATTTATTCTCCCTTTGCTTAATTGCAGCACATTGCAATATGCTCCTCCTAAATGGGTGTGGAGGATATGTTATATGTACTCAAAATATGAGTGTCTCATTCACCCTTATTAATATTGGACCGAATTGGGGCTTGTCCCCCATATCTAACGAAAAAACAGATAATCAGTTTGGGTGTTTAGACCGATTCAACTAAAATTGGATCATTATCCAGTAAATTTATGAATCGATTTTAAAACTAGTTAATGAACTTTTTTTTTTTTTGGTACAACTAGTTAATGAACTTTAAACTGGGTTTAACCAATTCTTAGAATTTTGTATGAAAAAATTCAAAATAATTTCATACGTGGGATTTAAATTTGTTTCATATTAAAATATATGCAACATAAATATATGCAACATTATATACTTGTTATGATATATACATATATATATATATATATATATATATATATATATATATATATATTTTTTTTTTTGTTTCAATCGGTTGAAATACTTACATAATACCCCACTTAATCTATTATTAGAAGTAAATTTTTTATACCTTTTAACTAAAAATAGGAATAAATTCATTATGACATTAATCATTAAAGAAGAAATAAAATAAATGTACTTAAATGGATACATTTTTTTTTCTAAATGATTCGTATGACATGAAGTAATGGTTTTCACTTTTTCAGAGAAAGGAAAATTTAAAATGCACAGAGGTTTACGAAACGAAAATGCCACCAATTATTTTGACCCCCACAAATATTTTAAGCTCTCTCTCACTCAGCAGACACAAATGAAGCAATCCTACAATTATCGTTTTACAATTTAAGGTTATTTTCAAACTTTAAATAAGGTGAGTAATTAATTGGGTATCACAAATGTATATAGGTATCCGGGTATATTCAACTTTGAATATTTGTACCTGTATATGAATGTAGCTACAATCTTCTTTTTTGGTGTGGTAAAAGAATTTAGCATTATAATTGATTTTAGGAAGCAGATGTAGTTTGAATGATGGCATCCCAATAAGCATCATTCCATTGGTCTCTGTATTTGTCCGGCAATTCAATTAATATCTTGAAGCACTCAGCTAACAAATTTTCCCTCCACTCCTCCAAAGGAGGCAACCCAATTTGTGCAGCTAACCAATTTTTGTACTCAACCTGTCATAGAGGAAATTACAAATGGAAAACATTGATTAATTTTACCTACAACCTATAATTGTATACATGTGATTTTATTCTTTAACATAAATGATAAAAATTACTCTAATACATTCAAGAATGGTTAATTAATGGCGATCCAATTAGATCCCAAAATTTAACTTATCTAAAAGATAGTGAATTTGAATCCTGAAAATCATAAATCTTCAAGAGAGTGAAGAAATACAAATCCAAAACCGGATTAGTCGAGTCCAATAGAACTCTAAATACGAATTGATATCCATACAAAATAAAAAAATCTGCTCATCTATATTTTTTAACAGAGGAAATTACCTATATAATGTATGGGAGTACATATTCTGTGAATATTATTATTCATAAAAAAATATATAACTCCCGGTGTAACCTATTTAAATAGGGATAAGATCAACCGCCTGCCCAAAATATGACCCTCCGTTACCTTTAATTTGTATCTCAATGATTGGAATTCTCTCACGTAATCTCATATCATATGAAAATCTCACATAAATATCTTCCACCGAAAATGTGTATGCCTATATGGAAATCATTTCCAAATTCCAACCATAAAAATCTATGCATAATTTTAGAATAATTGGTCTATTGATTTTAAAAAGGAGATAATTACTTTGATTTTCTTTAACCATGCTTAAATTACGTTCACCTTTCCTATTTCAAAAATGGTACTGATCTCCTCTAAGGTTTTTTATATACAAATACCAATGTTGGAAAAATATCAAATACAACAGAGATGGGTGTAATTTCTAAAAATGAAAAATTAGAGTACATAAGGCAAATCATAAGAACGATGGGTGTAATTTTCTTCATGACATAAGGTTCTAAAATGTTGTGTAAATACAAAAAAATTAAAAAAAAAAATGTAGATACCTGTAATGGACGAAGGGAAAGAGCACAACTTTTGGGCAAGCCATTTTTCTCCATTTCTTGATAGATATATTGAACAGAATCCATCATCTCCTCTTCTGTAGGTAACAGAATCTTACCAGATAGAACTCTTGCAACCCACATTGATTGCAATTCAACAATAAGGAAGATGGGTTCCTGGTCACAACAAGTTCTTCACCTTCTCAGTTACACATCAATATTATTTAATTGGATAATTAAGCAAATGTATCTTCAAACAGAGAGTCCTTAAGTCTCAAAAGGGGCACATTAATAATAATTTGTGGTTGTATATAGGACTTACACTAAGAAAATAAAAGGTATAGTGACACGAGGTTTAAATATTGTACATGATAATAATTGCTTATTAATTTGAGTTCCTCTGGTTTTGAACCCTTTTCTTCAAAGAAAAATTTATATTGGTAGCTCCTTTTGGAATCAACTTTGTTATTTGCACACCAAAAACTTTTAACCATTCTTATACTTTTCATGTAACCAATACTCAAAGATGACTCACCAAAAACTCATTTATACTTCAACAAATATTCTAGGAATCATTGGAGATTTCATGATTAACTATGCATTCATATTTGGTTAAGCAATTACATTATTATAGGATTGATTAGAATGGTCCCAAACCCCAATGGAAGTCATTTCCTTCACAAAATATAAGCTGAAGACAGTTATTAGTGCTTCAATCAACATATACAGACCTTGCTAATCAATTATTTAACCATTATTAACCAAATTCGCTATTGTGCCAAATAGGGTAGATATATATATTGTACACAAAATAGTGGCCGTGGATCATTTTTGTTTGGGAATTGATACTATTTTGTTGTCACAATAATGGAGAGAAGGAGAAAACTTGTTATCAATAACCTTACTGATGACACCAATGAAAGAGAGCCAAGGAGCTAATGCTGGAGGAAAGATGTGCTTATACAATGGCCCAACACACTGGTCTTCAATGGTTACAATTCCATTGGTTTCAAGAAATGGAAAATGGTATTTGTATCTGTCAACACATTGGCACAAAATCATTTCCTACGTAAATTAATTTTTATCACTCAAAAATGCAAGAAAACCTATAATGAAATCAAGAACATCAATAAATCAAGAATGGGGAAGGGATATTTTGATTACAGTCCAAGAATATGAGGTCTTACTTCTTATCGTAGTCATTGATTTATATGCATATAACGATTGTAATTTATTAAAAACTAATAATTAAGTAATGAATATAATTCAATAAATTACAATAGTTAAATGAACAAAGATTAACAATTGAGATATGGTGTAAGACTTCTTATTTATACCGGAGTAGAAAAATCCCTCCCCTTTTTAACTACTATTTATAACTGTCGAAATTATATATGTAAACCAATAAAATAACTTTATGATTATTATACCCAGTACAGTGGATTATAGTATCTGCCAAAATTGATGATCCATCTTCAAAGGCAATCGAGCCATCTTCATTCACACATTTTATCTGCAAAGAAAATAAAACAAAATTTTTCTCAAAACATGTTCACGTACTAAAATTTTCTTTCTTAAATGTTGTCTTTTTATAAGAAAATTAATGTATACATACCATATCATGGTATTTTACACGTTCAAACTTCACACCAAATCGATTCTCTTTGCATGCTATGTGAACCTCTTTTGCCACGGGTAAAATATCTACTGAAATATCAAAAGCACTAGGTCCATATCCAACTAAAAGCACAATCTGTTAAATAGGGATTACCAATGCATTCCGTAAGTTAAGTATATAGCAAAACAAGATACGAACTTCTGTTTTTGAATTATAAGCAATGAACAAATCAATCTAAGGGTTGCTTGTGTCAATAATTATGTTGGTTAATGAAGACAAAATAAGAAATTAGTATCTAAGGATAAACAAACAAAAGGATTATCCCTGTGTTAGAAACCTAAATAAAATAGTTATTTTATTTATTAACGAATTCTGTTATTATTTACACTATCAGCTAAAACTTTTATTTTAGTACTGCAAGTGCAAAAAACTAAAAATGTACTAACATACAACAAATTAATGCTGAGTTTAAATTTATTACATTATTATTGAATGATTTACTGGCACAATAAAATAATTAGACTTAGTTATTAATTATGATTGTCAATCATCTTTAAAGATTTATGATTAAATAATTGGATGATTTGTAAAAATTTATACACTATTAAAATTAAATCCATTTTCTCATATCATATATAAGGATTTAAAGTTGTGCTAAAAGTTTGGAATACAACATAAATACAATACCATGTTCATAAAGCTAAATTTGAGACTTAGATGCAAAGATTTAAATATTTGAATTTAATTTTAATGTCCTATTATTGCAACACATATATAGTATTCAATTTGATGTTGATATATTATTGAATAATTATGAATATGTTAACACTTAAAGAATATATAAAGTTAATTAAATGATATGACAAACATCATATAATACTACTTTTAAGTATCTGGTTTTATTTTCTTAAAAATGCAATTACTATTTATTTGAACATTTAGCTTTATTATATAAAAATGATTCAATTGCAAATATTGTTACTTTGCGATTATAATTGCTAACAAACTCTAGTAAGCTTCTTACTTTATAATATAATTAATTATAACACTTCCTATTTATTCTTTTTTATTTTTATCGAAATTGAAAATTGCAAAATGATAACATGTATTGTACGCTAATTTGAATTATTCTATAAAGGGAATTTCTCATTTTAATATATAATATTTTAGTAAAAAATATTTGTCATTTTAAAAATATGATTTTGTATCAGCTAGTGTATATTTAATGATATTACATTTTTTATCCTCCATAAAATCAGGAAGAAAAAAAATGTAAAAAATTATCAATTATGCATCAAAATGACATTGTTTCATTTAAAATGACATAAAATTATATCGTTTAAAATGACAAATAATTTTTTAATATTTTATTATTAATAATGTTATTATTAAATACTCATTTAGAAAATTAAAATAAATATAACATTATACATAAAAGTTACTAGTCATTTACAAATGACAGTGATTAGAAGTGTAAATGGGCTAGATTGCCCTACAAGGATATATGGCCTAGCTTATATTAGGTCAAATTTGGCCTATTATAAATAGTAAAATAGAACAAGTTTAGGCTTTTTAAAAACCTATTTATTTATTTATTTATTTTTGGTGAAATTAAAAAACCTATTTAGAAAATAGGTCATAGGCTTTATTGCACATGTCGAGCCTATAAATCTATAGGCCGACCTATATCATATTATTTATTTTAAATAAAAAAATAAAATTATTATTTTAATAATTTTGAATAATAAAGTAATATTATTTTAGTTATTTTTTTAATTGTTGAATGTTTAATAGGCTTTAACATACTAACAGGTCCAGACCAAGACTTTTATATTTTAAATACAGGTCATGTCAGACTTGTAATTTAGGACCTATACAGGCTAACAGGCAGGTCATATCCAATGTTTTTTACACAGATCTAACTTATTTAAGTCAAAGCTTAGCCTAGCCTATTTACACTCCTAACAATGATCGTCAAAGTTTCTTAACAATTTCACAATACATAATTAAATGATAGAATTAATATTTTTCATTTTATAGGAAATAAAATTATTTCTTACATACACATGAAAGTGTATGACGGATTATGTGAAGAAAAAAGAGAAAAAAAGAAAAAAAATGAATCCTATATATTTTTGTGAATGTGTAGGAGATAAAATTATTTCTGAATAAACAATTAACATGCACAAACAACAAAAAATAATTTTTTGTTTTTTAAGTTTTGATGGATCCCACCATGTGCGTATTTGCAGAAAAAACAAGATGAAAAACAATTAACCTTTTTTTAAATAGAAAGTGGGTGGGAAAAAGAAACACAAAATTATAAAAAGTGAAGATTCCTCCGGATGACATTAATATAAATTAACCATGTCATTTTGTAAAACTTAAAATATAAATTAAAAGAAAAATATTCAAAATTATAAAAAAAAACACAAAATGACATTAATATAAATGGAATCTTAAAAATATATGTTAAAACAAAAAAAATATACATCTTACTCATTAGATATATTATCTCATTAGAATTAAACAAGCACTATATTAGTAGAATTTCTGAATCAATGATTACCAAAAAAAAAAAAAAAATTCTGAATCAATAGTCCAGGCACATTAAATATAATATTTGATAATACAAACGTTAGCAGTAAAGTACCTGGTTGTGAAAGGGTTCAGGTACACGATAGTTATGACTGTGCATTTGGTACCCTTTCCAGTTTCCGATACCTGGAATCTCTGCAACTCTCACTTCCGTATTATGACCCGAACACACAACAATCGCTTCGAACACTTCTCGGGTCACCGATTCGGATCCCCGAGTCAAGTACTCAACCATCCACTCGTTCTTCCTTCCCTCCACTCGCTCCACCCTCGTGTTGAACCGGGTCAACTCGTGGATCCCGAACTCGGCCGCAAACCCGTCCAGAAAACGGAGCACTTCTTCGTGACCCGGGAACGTTCTCGGGTCGGATTCGGACCTCAGAAACGGGTAATCGCGGAAGCTCATGAGTGCCCTTGGGAGGTTGGTGCGCATGGAGGCGTAGAGGCTGCCATGGACGGTTTCTCGGTTCGGGTCAACGCATAAAGGGTCGGATTCGGTTCTCGGGTCGTAGACCCAGTTTCCTCCTATTCGGTCGTTTTGCTCGAAAACGACGACGTGGTGTCGTTCACGTCGAAGCTCACGTGCTGCTACGAGGCCAGAAACACCTGCCCCTATCACTGCGACTTTCACGGAGCGATTCATTGGTTTCACACAATGGTAATGAAACGTGGCCGTATGTGATTTCTCTTTCCGAGCACAACATAGATTTCAGTGGACGTTGCGTCAATTATTATATAAATGCTCGCGCTTAATTTCTTGGACTATAGTGCTTTTCTAGAAGTGTACATTTTCTAATTAGATTTTTGTGTTTTTAAAATGATATTTTAAAAAGAACTTTTAAAAATTCATCTAAAGTAGTCTAGGATGGTGGCTCATCAAGTGTATTCACTTTTTCAATCTACGGAGGAGCTTTCTTTCCATTATACTCAAAAGTAAAAACAACGGGATTCTCTCATGTGTAATTTAACATGATCATGATCATGTCATGTGTGAGAATCTTAACCATTAATAATTAAATCAACGGTCATGTGAGAATTGTCCATAATTTTAAGAAAATTATTAGATCATAAATCTATTTTTTCAGTGTAAGTCACTTTTCTGACAAAATGTGCAATTATTTACAGTTCAGGAGTAAAACAATAATTTTACCAAATTACCTGAAAATTTAGCAGTATTCAATAAATATTAGATTTATGAAATTTATTAGTCAGAAAACATGTTAGAAATATCAAGTCATTTGGCTAAAACATTAAGTTATTTAAGAAAAGGGACATGTTAGGTATTATGACCCTCTTTTGTTGACATTTGTCAACATTTATTTAAGTTAAGTAAATTGGTGATTAAGTCATCAAATTAGCTCATTCCATCGACTTTGCTTATTCTTCCCACGACCTTTAGTGTTTTGGAGAGCAAACTCCATTATTGTTCAAGCTTTAAAGGCCTCATATTTTTGCTTACAAGCCTTTGCGGTATATTCCTTAACTTTGTTCATGAGTTTATATGTTAAAAATCAAGTCTTGGCATATAATATGATAGGATTAAGTAACCGACATGAACACTGACCTAAATGGGTATAAAAAGGCATACTTGGATGTGTAGAAGTGTTAAAAATGATGCCTTGGATGGATATCTTCACGAAATGCAGAAACTATATTCTGTCGCGAAATATCCTGATATGATATCCGGATAGGGTTAGTGATATCCGAATATAGATATCGCGTATCCGGATATGAATATCCGGATATGTTCCTGTGAAATATCCGGATATTCTGGGAATTTCGAGTTATGCACTGTTTTGTCCAAACAGAAGTGTAGATTGGGTTTATGGACCCTTGAGTGGTTAGTAAGAACCTCTGTAATAATTTAACTAAGTCAGAATCGCTTAGATTAAAGGCTTATGGCTTTGGGAGAAGCCTAAGAGCACAAAACGAAAAAGAAAACGTTGTCGTAATGTAATGAACTCCTAGATGAATTATATTGATAATATCTCTGGTGTAAACAGACCGTGATTGTGTCGTTTGGTGACCTTGGGCTGGTGTGGAATCGTGTTTGGATTGTTAGCTTGAGAGGTAAGCTTTCGTGTCCTCGGTTTTGTCCATTGTTGGTTCCACATACCTCATGGAGGGATGGTTATATGCAAGCTGTGTTTTTGATGAAAATAAATGATGATTCTTGATATGCTATTGAGTTGTTTTATTGAGTGTAAGTGTCATATGATATGTATGTGATGTACCACGTAGACGGTAACCCCTGAGTATGTGGAGACATACAAGATGGTAACTCCGTGGGTTAGGTGCAAGCGGTGTTCCTTGTACTGTAGGTTGTGGACGTATGTAATCCCAACCTTTTAATTCTCTGGCCAATAGGATGCATACACATATGAAATGGATATATGATGCATTGAACAAGTTTTGAAAATTATATTGTTATACTGTTTTGGAACTTATATTGCACATGTAAGTGAGTTTAGGGTGGAGAAGTCCTTGAGGACCCCTTACCTTACTGAGAATTCTTTTTAGAGATCTCACCCCGTGTTGGGGCACATTTTCAGGTACAGGTACCTTGGGGGTCAATACCTTTAGCGGCAGGAGGCCAGAGTTGAGTTGATTATGCATGCTACTTTACTGATATGCCTGGATGTTGATCATACTTTATTTCAGTATATCGTTATTTGATTTGAGACATTGTTGGTTATGTTACCTTATTTGGTGAGCATGGGGGTTGTCCATGCCACATTGATATCAGACATGTTTGCTTATCTTGAGTTGTATAATGTATCAAGATATGGTTCGGTCTATGTGTTGTAGTTCCGTGACTTGATATTATTTATGATATGAGGATATTCAGTGTAGTTATTATTGCAATTTACATACAGGCAGTATTTTGAAAATGAATAAGTAATTCCACTTGGTAAATATGATAAGTATTCATAATTGAAAAGAAAAAGTTAGCTTCCGCATTTAATTAGCTGCGCTCTACCATTGTATGTTTAATACACTGGGTGCACACGAGGTGTTACATGTAGCATCGTAAGCAGTTTTGTAGCATAAAAGATGAGGTCAGCATCATGTTTGGTTGACATCATCACCAGCAAACCATGGACCCAAGCCCAACTTGATGGAAGGAAGCTGTTGAGCGCGCAAACAAATACTCTGATCTGAATATTCACTCATAGATCTTCAAAAAATCCTAATCAAATCTTCAACAAATCAGCGTCTACAAATCCAATTCAAATCTGAATTATATATTTGGAAAGATTTGGAGAAGATATACAACAGCATTATGTTTTGTCCCTGCATCATATCTGCAGCAAAAACATAGCCGAATCCTCAATCAATCATAAGGCAAATTCGAATGTGATTTGCAATGGATTGGAAGAGCTAATTGAAGCCCAATGCATCAGAGTCTATAAAGAGAGGAAACCTACACACACCAAGCAGGCTAGAGAGGTTCTTGACACAGATTGGAAGACATATTTCAGTGCTGATAGAGAGAGAAAGTAAGGCAAACACTTAAAGGGAATTTGAGGGTTCGTCAGAGAGATCCAGCGAATCAAAGGAAGAAGCTAGGGTTCAATATAGAGATCATTGAATCCGGTGACTTCCTGCACTTTTCCGGTGGCTGAGGCAAGGTTGATGGTGGTGGAGCTCACGATTGCTGCGAGAGCAGAGCTACAACAATGTCCCTGTTTTTCTTATCTTAGATCTATGAAATCTTATTCTTTCTTTGTTGTTGCTTTCCACCCAAGTATGAGCTAAATTGTTAAGATTGGGTGATAGAGTACCCTTATTGTGATGTAATCAGTTGCCTAAACTTTGTTGCATGATTGTCCTTTTAATTGTTTAATAAAGTGCTTAATTTATCTTTAATCTTGTTGATTCATCGAGAGAGAGTTGCAAGGTTCTTAGGATTTGAGCTATAGAGATATAGGTGAATTCTGAAAGTTATTAAACATTGTGGTTTAACTAAGTAAAATTGGTTAATTGTGGGTAGAGAGATCATTCACACCACAAAATCACATAGAACCTGAACTTAATGATTTAAAACTATGTTGGCCATAAAGATATGGGAACTAGTATACATGTATTGCTGGTGAGAGCCCTTGCATGCATTAGTGTTCTGAGTACTGAATGGATGATTGTTGTAGCATTGTAACTGCATTCTGATGAAACTGCAATAATGAGGAAATTGATCCCAGTCTACCTTTGAATACTTGGGAAACTTATATTGTTACTGCATTCTCTTAGTTAATCTTTAGTCTTAGTCTATTTCATTTCTTAATTCTTAAATTAGTCATTAGTTAATCAAAAATCATTTTTGTTACTTTAAATTGCTTCACTTAGAGCTGTAGCTTTACTTAATCTCTGTGGGAACGATATCTGGATTCACACATTCACTTTATTACTTGTTGATACGTGCACTTGCGTATTTGTGTGATTAATATAGTTGATTGCGAAATTGCACAACAATGTCCCCGAACCATGAGTACCTGGACTGGTACAGGCAACGAGGCAAGCGGTTCGTAGCGAGGAGGGCTGCGAGGATTGGACGAGCAATGAGTTATTTGAGTTATAATTTCTATGTGTTGATTATAGTTAATTTTGTACCTAAAAATTTAATTATTGTGAGTTTTAGATCGATAGCTTGGAGATGTTGTACTTTGCGACCACTGGTGATTAGTTTCCGAGCTATGGATTGGAGTGGGTCCATGAGGAGATTGGACGCATTATTACAATTTTCAGAGAGTACGCACGAGTGGAGGAACCTGGACCAGAGGCTCCACCGACGCAGACAGTTGAGGAGCTCATGTTGACCATTGAGGTTCCCTGTGGTAGGCAGGAGGGACATAAGTTAAGATAACAACGGGAACCTGAGTGAGCAGAGCCTATTCTTGGTCCTAGACCACGCATAGATAGTTCAGACCTCCAGTTATAAGCTATACGTTTGGCGCACAACCTATATATTACGCGCCTCCTCCGCAATAGTATTATACTAGCCAGTCAGGTACATTCTATCCACCGATGTATTCGTAGGGTGAGCATGTCTATCAGGCTAATCCCATGGCCATGGCATTTGGAGGGGTACCGTTCACTCAGCCATCGACCAGTAGTATAGAGTATCAGAAATGGATCCAGGCAAACGTAGAGGCATGGTGCACAGAGATAGATTTGAGCGCAGATGGCTGTGGCGAGTGACCTTCACATCATGTGCCCGAGGTCACTCCGTCTTCGACATCGTGTGACATCCAGTCAGGTACAACTGCGCACGATTTTCTAGAGGCCGCGACTAGTGACTTTGTTCATTCAGCACCAGACATATCTTCCTCTACAGAGCCAGCACGTGTTTCAGATCCAGTTGTTGACCCAGAGCCCACTCTAGAAGGGTTTCCACAGGCATTGGAGGCTGGGATTAGATGCCGATTACCCCCTCGTCAGGCACGTGACAGGCCATGGTCGCGATGGTCATAGCTTGCATGTAGTTTTGATGCTTTTTCTTGTGTACTGTTGGAATTTATTTTTGGATTGTACATGTGGATTGTTATTATGGACGGTGTTGTTTGGATTGTTATTATGGACTGCATTTTACGATTGTTATTGTTACAACTATTTTTGGCTTGTTATTATTGAATGTGTTTTTTTTATTGTTATGTTATCGACTATTTATTTGAGGTCGCAATGCAACATTAATAATATTAACAATTCATCAAATAATGCCAAATCACAAATCAGGTTTAATTGAAATAACAATGTAACATTTAATTGACATAATAATGGATCATTAAGTGACATAGTAATGCATCGCATATCACAAATTAGCTTCACGATTAGGACACGACTTGCGATTGTGCCCAAGTTGCTTGCAAAGACCACATTTAGTGCGTGCTTGAACAGTTTCAACCTCATCCATCTCGTTGCATATTCTGGTCAACTTTGGATGGCCCTTTGCACACAACATATTCCTATCAAGTATGACCACTAGACTTATACTTAGTGGAATAGCTTGCTCATTGCCGATTGGCTCCCATGGAAATGAGTACGTACTAACCAATTTTGTTGTCTTGAACACATCATCCACAGATTAACGAGGGTTCCGACGAATGTGTAAGGCCGCAGTTGCGGCGTGACTATATGGATATTTAAATGCTTTAAATTGTCTACATTGGCATGATCGCTCTCGAAGGTTGACAGAATACGACCTTTTCCACCCTGCATCAACCTCAAATACAGTTTCTTCAACATTATAGATACGAACATTATGCATTATAGCCACAGACTCATTATGTGTCAACGAGTCAATCACATTTTTGCAATAACTATGATCAGATTGAACTTGTTGAGATGCCGATTGAACTTTTTGCGCGAAATAATGAACCAATCTACTATACATGTGCTTAACCAATCCAGTAATTGGCATATTTCTTGCCCCCTTTAACACTCTATTTACGGATTGTGACAGGTTTGTTGTCATATGCCCATATCGTCGTCCCTCAACGTTATGTGCGCGCGACCACTTTTTCTTTGGAATGCCATCAATCCAATCCGCAACCTGAGAACTGGTGTCACGAATTCGTGCAAGCGCTCTCTCAAAATCCACCATACAAGGAGCATATCCTGCCAACAATAAAACCAATAAGACATGAAAATTAACAAATGCATTCAAATTGAAGACTCGGGTTGTACACCATACCTATATTTATCAATGCTGCCTTCAATTTGTCATTTATAAACCGTTGATTAAAATTGCTAGCAATATATCGAAGGCAATACACATTAAACGCATGCGGTGGCAGCAAACCAGGATGATTCTCTACAGCTGATAATATGCTAGGATGCCAATATGAAATGAGACATATTTTGCGCCTGTGTAACATGCATGCGAAGATTGGCAAGGAAGTATGACCAAGCGTCCAATATCTCACCATCAACAATGGCAAATGCAAGTGGCAAACATTCATTATTTCCATCCTGAGCCGTGGCAATCAACAACTTTCCCTTATATTTTTCGTATAAATGAATGCCATCAATTTGTATCATTGGTTTGCAAATATTAAATGCCTCGCAACACTGTCTGAAAGTCCAAAAAATGCGATGGAATACACATTTTCCGGGGACTAGTCCCCCCCACAAAACAATCCTTTGTTTGAATATTATAAAAGGAACCTAGTGAAAAACGAAGCATATATTCACACCACCTGAGTAAATATGCATACGATTCCTCCCAATCACCATACAACATTGCCATTGCTTTCTGCTTCGCATACCATGCCTTTCTATATGAAACTTTGAATCCATAAGAATGAGTGATCCTCTCTTGAACCAGTGCAGTTGAGACTGATGGTTTCTTTTTTATCGTCTCTAACAAACAAATTGTAATATACAGATTAAACCAAACATAGGTATATGAACCAATTTTTAAATATATCATAATATTCTGAAATAACGTACCTACTGTAAGTGATGCAATCATGTCAGAATTAAGTTGTCTATGATCTTGAGAAATATGGTCATTCAAACAATTGTGATCACCACCCCATTTTCGTAACCTTCCAATTTTCACCATATGTTGGTTTAATTACCATGAGCCCTCTATGGGCAACCCTGCTCATGCGTGCAAAATTTCATGCTTAACTTTGTAGGTGTGCTCTCAACAACAATTGCTTCTTGACGCTCCTTCATGAGGTTGCGCTTGATTGCCATCTGAGCCTCTTATTTAGATGTAAATTTCTGGTTAACAAACAATTTCCCCCCTAATTGCCATGGACCTTGGATTAAACCCAAACTCTGGCTATATGATTTTTGTTCACTTTGATGATCCCAATCAATATATGTGCAATGTGGAATTTCATCCCAAAAAGGAGTAACAACATCATCATCTGCGTGTACTAAGTAATAATAGTAACAAGAAGAATTAATTACATCAACAAAACCATATATGCATATATGAGTTATTTCTTAACATACCTTGAGGATGTTGTGCTATTTGACTCAAGGCCATGTCATGATGTCCTACGATTCAAGACTCCTCCAAATCATGCCATGGCTGGATTTGAGTAGCTGAACTGTCACATTCTTTGTCATTGTCCGAAGCACTTGCATCTCTGCAAGAAAATGTCCTCCATTGCGATATTTTCCTCATCGTCATCGTCATAGTCGTCATCCATAACCCAGGTAGGGTCATGTTCATCTTCCTCAGACATGTTAAACTGGAGCAACATATGAGAATGCATTATGAGGAGAATTTCAAGCAACTAACCTCATTGGTAACATAACATCCTCCGCTCTGGCAGTATCCACGTACAACTCTAAGAAATATTTTCTAGACTAGTTCAAGAATTCTTCCATTACCATATCTACGTCTTCGTCATCCACCACTTGCAAACTAATGTATTGTTCAGATTGCCATAATCTTGTCGTGACTAGAGTGATCGATTTGTTATCTTTGAGACATAATTTTTGGCGAATTTTCTGATGCAGTTCCTCAACGGTTGAGTTTCGCTTAATATGTGGTGGCCTTTTCTCGCCTACAAAAATAACACTACGACGACCTTCCACTTTCCTACCATTATAATATAGAACAACACGAATAAAATCAGAATTCGAACTCATTCTTAAAAATAATAATGAAAAATAGAAAATAGAATATGAATAAACAAGTGCAAAATGAATGTAGGAGTATATGTATAATGATTGAGAAGAGTTGTGAAGAGTGTAAAGAGGAGAAGAGTTTAAATAGGATAGAAATGAGCCACTCACACTCTGATTGAGCAGGTTCGCCACGTGGAACATGCCCCACAGGGGCGTGTCTCTCTACTTAAACATGCCCCTTGTGGGCGTGTCTCTCCCATCTAGGTCACGCCTCTTTTGGGCGTGTCTCTCTCCTAGCTCACGCCATCTGTGGGCATGTCTCTCTCCAGATGGTCACACCCCCTAGGGATTGTTTGGGTGTTATACTTGCGTAAATACATTCAAAACGACTACATTTGTGTAATTTGTTATTAAAAAAGTAATATTTAAATTTTTTTTGCCATGTGATTGCTCTTTTCGTGCACAACATAGATAAGGTAAGTTTTGGCATGTCAATTATGGAAAAAAACAAGTTTACAAATTTTTCTAAATTATATTATCTACTCCCGGAAGTATATAATATAACCTAGTGTACTTTCGAAAATACATCGTGTAGTTTGTAAAAAAAAAATTTATAAATATAACCCTCCTTATCAATTATTATATAAACGGGCGCGCTTAATTTCTTTGACTGCAGTGCTTTTCTAGAAGTGTACATTTTCCAACTAGATTTTTGTCTTTTTAAAGTGATATTTTAGAAGAATTTTTAAAAATTCATCTAAAGTAGTCTATGATGGTGGCTCATCAAGTATATTCACATTTTTATTCTATGAAGAAGCTTTCTCTCCATTATACCCAACAGTCAAATCAACATTTTACCTTAAAAAAAGTCAAAACAGTAGAGTTTCAGTGGACATGACTCACATGAGTAACCCATAGTCAATAATGGTTTCTAAGTAATATATAAAAGGGTTTTATTAGTGTTATGTAACATAATGTAAGTGTTGTTTTCAACTCTCACATCAAAAGGGAGAGAGAAAGTGGAATGATGTTTCTTTAATGTGTGTGTAGGAAAGTGAAGTTATATTATGTTAAATGATAAACATAAAACCCTATATAAAATATGGTTTTATTTTAATTTAACGTTGCTGTATCATTTTTGCACATTATCATGTAATGCGTTCGGGACCGGTCGGATTGTTTTGCCCAGCTGGTTTTAACGGTCACCCAACAAGGACGTACATTATCACCACTTAACACATAGGTACATGTGTACTTTCACTTTCACATTTCCAACCCACGTATGATCTTTATATGTTAAATATCATGCAGCCTCATACCGTAACAGAACCCACATGGCCACAAACTATTTTGGCATAACACCTTATGTGGAGGTAGTGTTTGGTTGAAGGTTTATTTTAGGATTAATGGGAAAGTGTAGGTGGATATTGGAAAATACCACGTTTGATTCAGGTTTTTTCAAGAAATACCAGACAAATAGGATAGATGGGAAAATGACTTTTGTGTTGATTTTTAGATAAAATTCACTGTTATAGAATACCACTTGAGATGTGGTATTGTGAGATGACTGGGGAAGTGAAAAAATAGGTGTAAAGTTTCTCCCGAACATAGATTTTGCATATTTAAATAAATTTCCCTGGTAATATTTGGGTCAACCAAATAACTTTTTTTACATTTTCCTATCAAACTCACTTTCCAATCATTTTCCTATCAATTACATTTCTTTAGTAAAATTTTTTTTTTCCCGAACCAAACACTAGCTAAAGGGAATCTCCTTCACCCTATACATAAAGACTTTCTCCTCACCTTAGATTCATCTTCTTCATTTCTCAGTATTTGGATTACTCGACAGAATTCACCCCTCAAGTCATAACCGAGCCCAAAATACACTTCCTCCTCCCACTCTCAACTAGTCTAAGACACACTTCCCGTTCCACCCTCAGCTAGCCTTAAACGGTAAGTCTTAAGAACTCTAATCTATACCACTGCTTTTGCAATTTTCATTACCCACCCATTCTGAATACATATTCTCATTCTCATTCTCTCACAAGTTCATAATGAATATATTATGATATCATTACAAAAATTTGATTACAACAATAAATATTAAATATCAATCTTGAGAGAACCTAAATCAATAATTCGCAGGGGAAATGCAATGTCATTGCTTTTAGGAAGCTGATGCAGTTTGAATGATGGCATCCCAATAAACATCATCCCATTCATCTCTATATTTTTCGCTATTTTCGATAAAATTCTTAAAGCACTCTGCATACATATTCTCCCTCCAATCTTCCAACGGAGGCATCCCAATTTGTTTAACTAGCCAGGGCTTGTAGTCAACCTGCGAGAGTCATTTTCAAATAAGTAAATTCAAAAAAGTAAAGCTACCCTAACCTTAAAGAAAGGTCACATTTATAATTGGGTATAACTATTCCATTGCTATCACATACCTGAAATGGACGAAGGGAATGAGTGTAACGCTTGGGCAACCCATTTTCCTCCATAAATTTGTAGTAGTCTTTAACAGATTCCGTCATCTCTTCTTCCGTAGGTAAGCGAACCTTACCAGATAAAACCTTTGCAACCCATTTGGATTGCAACTCATATACATGAAAAACAGCATCCTGGCCAGCAAGTTATAATTAACCTTAATTATTTCAATAAATTATATATATATATATATATATATATATATATATATATATATATATATATCACTCTAAATCGTTAATATTTGGCTTGAAAAATTCTATATTAATAAAAAATAATTCTTCACCCAAAAAAAATTAAAAAAATAATAAATTCTGATAATAACCTTATAGGGTAAACCAACGAAAGAGAGCCATGGAGCCAATCCAGGAGGAAAGACATGTTTGTATAGTGGACCAACGCGATTATCATCAACGGTTACTATTCCATTGGTTTCAAGGAATGGAAGGTGATACTTGTATCTGTCATATTCCATGAAATCATTAACTACATAGATAATCATTTTTTATTTTATTTTAATAGATAGATAATCATTTTTCATATCAATCAAAAATGTAAATATGGCAAGGAAGGATATCTGGAAAGTGGAAAGTGACAAAATGTATGAAACTTTCTGATTGTACCCTGTGCAGTGGATTATGGCATCTGCATGTATAGAGAATCCATCTTCAAAGGCAACCAAGCCATCTTTATCTACACATTTTATCTAGCAAAAAGATATAATGAGAATCACCAATATCATATTCTTAAGAAAGTAATGTATATAAATATAATGTAAAGTACTCAAATTATTTTAATTAATTAAGTGGGTTAAATAATAATGTTTTAACCTGGAGTTTGAAAAATTCATTTAATAAATGACCAAAATAAATTAAAAAGTTACTAAGAAGCTGTGTTCATAATAATATTTTACATACCATAGTATGAAAGCTTATATTGCCATTATTTTTCAACTTCATACCCATTAAATCTGGATTCAGTTTTGCTGCTACACGAACTTCCTTTGCTACTGTTGCAATATCTCTTGAGATATCAAACGAACTATTCGATACAGATGTGGAGACTAGGATTTTAAATTCTTTCCTTTAATAATAAGGATGAAACATATACTTTCACCTTATTTTTTTAATACCAACTGAGCTGCTGTCTGTTTGCTTGTGACCAGAAAGGGTATTTGTTTACTTGCAAGTTGCATGGATACCATTATTTAGGACTGAAAATTTGGGTTGATAACACACATTATGACACAATACATATATGAATGCATGACACAAATTTAAAGAGGTTAGAATACAAATCCCTTGACATAACATGATATATGAATAATATGTCAATCTCAGTATATTAAAGGTTGTTTTCACCAATGGGGTGAAATCCCCTGCATTAATATTTATTTTCTCTAATATTGCTCTTCTTAGCCAACATGCTGGCATGGCATACCAACAATCTAACAAGCATTCACCAGGATCAATCAAGAGCTAGAGTTGTTATATGTGGCCATGACTCATGCACATTGATAGAGCAGAGTTGCTCTGAGAATTAAAACAAGAGTAAAAAAGGGTTATTATTTCTGATATCGGTTTCCTTACATCAAAACTCTATTTATAGGAGGAGCTTGTGAATAAGCCACGTAAGTGACACCTCACTAACTCACCGCTTCTAGCACGTTCCTAACAGCTTATTGACTCTATTTATGCAGCTATACAATTACATCAGCTCTCAATTATATTACAATATCCAATATCACTACTTATCTATTAAGCTACTGTTGAACTCCTACACACATCACCTCCTCAACAGTCACCACCATATAAACAATCCAGCAATCAATGCTAGACTTTTATATATTTTCACCACCGTATAAACCAAAGCATATACTAGATATCTTCATTTTTTAACCTGCTTAAATTCTAAGTAACAATCAATGCAAGACTTTTTTTTATATATCACACATGTAGAAAGGGCGACACTATGTTAAGGGACTAGCCCCAACAGAGAAACAGAGAACAAGAAAGGTAACGAAAAGAAGAATTTTCTGTTATGAATTCAATGAATGTTTTTCCATCGATTACACTATTGGTTTTATTATATTCACCACCAATGACTTCCAGCCACACAAATGCCACGTAGCACTAAAATACCCCACTAATATTCCACAAGGCTACACCTGGTACATTCAACATAACTACACCTGTTACACATAACTACACCTGTTACAAAAGATTACTGATATACGTTGTTTGTTGAAATGATAAATGCTATAACTATGTTTATTTTCTAATGTTAACCACGAAGTCCTTTGCCCAGGTACGAGCTCCAGCTTTCCTTTTCTTCCTAACACACTGTTAAAAAATTAACCACAAATCAATCAAATAATTTTGCATTGGTAGGGTATTTTCAAGTAATCATCACCAATGTTCTGCAGTATCAAATAAAATTTTCTATTTTCAACTAATCTTGTATATTTTCTGCTTCCCACTGAAGTCTGGCATGTTGGTGCTGCTGCAACGGTTGAGCATCATCAGCACTTGAACTTCCAGCCACACTTGACTCAAACCCAGGAATGCTTGAACTTCCAGTTGCCACATAACCATCAAAACGTTTGATTGAAGGCTTCATCAATAATTTGTGGCACATAATGGTGTCTTGGAAGTCTACAAAAGTATAGTCAAGAAATTGAGACTTATCCAAATCTGTCATCCTTGCAAAGCCGAATGAGTTTGTCCAAGTGTCTATCACACTAGGAGAGGAAGGCAAGATCATCCTCTCAATTCCCAAGTGAGTCAAATGCTTCTCAAGCTCATTCATTGTAACATCCCCGTCTCGAGCCGGTTCAATTAACATACATATGATAAAACAGAAAACAGCGGAAGACTTAACTTACGAAAATATGAGCTAACTTTTTCTTTTTCTAACTTAATTCTTTCTCGGCGTAAACGAAAATCGGGCAGAGTTTCCTCTATAAATCGGACAACTGGGGATTTTCCAATCCCACTCAGAAGCATTTCCTGATAAACAGTTTATACGACATATCAATTCAGAAATACCAGATATCCAAATATAATCGAATACCCATACATGGGCGCATGCATAACATGGCTCCGTGCCACTAAATCTAACAGCATGCCATCAAAACATAAACCTATCTGAATACTACATCATCATATAACGTTCCTGAATACTCAAATGTACATGCATCAAACTGACAGACATGTACAAAACATATACAGGCCATATACAAAATAAAGGATCAATATCATGACCCATCAAATGCGAAAATACTAAAATACATCAAACACTCCAAAAAGGTAGTAGCCTACAGCCACTCAAAATCCAATCTGTCAACTGCCTCAGCCACGTGTCGTGTCCCTGCCTAGTGAGGACTCACCGGGAATCTGGGCACCTGAAAATATGTCCCCAAAGAGGGGTGAGATTACAAATCTCAATAAGCTCCAGGTTTATAGAGAATTCTCCATACCCCTGGCTCACTCCTGCATGAAAGTCAGATACAGAGTATACAAATACAACATATAACAGATATCATAACAGAACAGAGCGTATATCCATATCATATCAGAGATGTGCGCCGTCATTCCCAAGGGAGGACCCCAAGCGGAAATCAACGCACGTGTTCCCGAGGGAGGACCCCAAAGCGGAACCAGACATATCAGAGGCGTACACCATCAGTCCCGAGGGAGGACCCCAAAGCGGACATCCGGGTACTATACAATCAATGGCCAGAGATTGTTACAGAAATCATATTACAGAAGTCATATCAGAGCAAAACATATCATGTTATCAAATAACTCTATATGAATGCATCTATACAAAGCATCTAAATCACAGTCATACAGTCCAACCATAGTTCACTAACCATGGTGGAGCACTCAAGCAGGAAAAGACTCCTTAAACATAGAGCTTACCTCTTGAAGCTTTACCAATACCCTTACTTGTTGCACAAGTTACTTATATATCTTCAAGAGATTCTGATTCCTTTTTAGTCCCTAGGTACACCTAGAGCAAGAATCCACAAATACCAATTAATAAAATGCCATCATGCCTAGCTTTCACATAAGGCACACATTTTATCGCTTCTTTTCATTTCTTTGCATTTTTGCCAATCCTATGCCAATACACAAGTCTAGACCTCTTTATAACCGTTGGTGTTCTTTAATTTAATCATCCATTCCCTTACGAATTTCCAACATAAATCATAACATTTTACTTTAAAGGACCGTGAGCCTAAAATTAGGAAATCAATATATTTTTCCATGATTTCTTTTCAAACCATTTCACTTCATGCCTTATCATTTTCATACTTTGAAACACACATATTTTATTAAAATAAAATATGACAACATCTTTCCCTAAACACCCTATATGTCGAATCCTTTAAGGGAATTTCCAAGGATCATTCTCTTTTACAATACATTTTCCTCACTTAATTTAACAACTACACGTACATAAATATATATATATATATACCAAGTTCCAATTTAATTTTTGGGAATCTCAAGCTCTTTAAATCCTTCAAGGACGAAACATCAAGGGTATGTTTCAAAGGATTTTCTTTCAAATTTAACATTCTTACTAACTCATCAAATTTCCTCTTATTCAAGCACATTAAACCTTCCCAATACATACAATAAATCTTTGTGCATCATCCCTAATTACCCTATCAAGGCCGAAATCTAGGGTATGTCACCATGGGATTTTTTTTTTCCAATTTTTTATACATGTTCATATGCTTATTCCACATTCCTATATCCAACACATCATCAATCCATCATCAATTCAAATTTTAAACTAATTTATTTCACACAACATATGCTCACAATTTCTATGACACAAACCATCAAAATAACATCATGGAAACAAAGGTTTCTTACCACTAATCAACTTCCCAAAGCCTAGAAAGCAACCTCCAAGCCAAGCTCCATCAAAAACTCACTTTTTCTCCTCCAATGAATAGTAACTCGAAAATGAGAGGAGGAATAACTCTTCACACACTCAACTATAGCTCAAATGGATAGGAGGAATGGATTCATTGAGTGGTTTCCAATCAATTTCATGTGGTGGGTCATTGGATTTGGTGGCATATTCAAGAAGAAATCAAGAAAAGAAATAAAGCCCTAAACCCCCCCTTCCATGATGAACTCCACGGCTTGCAAGAGAGAGAAAGGAGTTTTAGTTGTGTGAATAGTGATTCACTTGAATGACAAAGCTTTATAGCCACATGTGACTTTTTAACAGATGTTTTTCTTTCGCGTATTTTCACTTAAACTGACCCGGAACTAACTCAATGCTACAAACATATTTTTATTTTTCTAAAATCATTTATATTAATTTTTAATTCTTACAAAACAATATTCATAATTCACAGTATGATTTTTGCACCGTTTTTGACGAAATGCACTGTGAATCACTAATTGTACTTCATTTACTTATGAAACTTAAACTTATAAACTTATCATTTTCTTGGGCCTATATTGACTTGCTTGGCATATATTGGACTTTCTTATTCTTATTTCATCAATTATTTGTTTCTGGGCTCTACCGGTTGCTTAAACAGCAGTACAAAATACCCGGTAAAAACACTATTCACGAGATTTTCACGGAAAGTGCCAGACTATACAATTTTTTGTTCTGAACTCATATTTGTCGTCAGAATTATCAAATTATGTTCCTAAAATTATTTTGCTCATTTAAGCTCTACCCGTTAATTCACAAAACTGTAAATTCTTCGGCAGAACGCACTGTTCATAACATAGTCATGATTACAGTCAAAAATACTCGAAATCGCTCACTGAATCTAATTATGGCATTTAAATCCTTAAATTAAATCTCTAACTAAGATTTACCAGTTAGGGTCATTATATTCACCCCACCTTTTAAGGATTTTGCCCACAAAATCAAATATCAAATATAACATATACCTGACATCAAACTCAGGATACTGCTGGAGAATTTCATTCTCCCG